GAAGAGAAGAGAAGAGAAGAGAAGAGAAGAGAAGAGAAGAGAAGAGAAGAGAAGAGAAGAGAAGAGAAGAGAAGAGAAGAGAAGAGAAGAGAAGAGAAGGAATTTCTAGCCCCTTTGGAGGCTGTAATTAACCACTGAGTGCCACAGACTGGGCTACATGCAAAACCCTCCAAGGTCCACGCACTGATCCCTGTGGATTTTAGCTCTGTCCTGCTGATACTGAGCCTTCTGAGATCTCAGACCACCTGTATCCATGGTTTTTCCCAGCCTGACTCAACTGCATTCAGAGTGCTGTGTCCCTGCTAAGGTTTCCTGGGAGATTCACTGGCTGCTCCTTGGCTCTGTGCGTGGCAGACAGGAGTAGAGCTGAGCATCAGCCTCTCTGGTTCTTTCCCTCTGGCCTCTTTTCTCTCTACCTCTGGTTCATTTTGTCTCTTTGGGATCCATTTTCAAGCCATTACAGAGATATAAGTAACGTTTCCATCCAAGCAGTCTATTCAGCAGCAGCAAGTTTTGTGCTGGTGCCCAGAAGCACTGTGTGCCTGCCTCCCGTGGCCTGAAGCATTTTGCAGCCAACTGCACCACATGGCAGCTTTCCCGCTGTCCTAGAAGCAAATCTCAAGCTGGCTGGCAGGCCCCTGAAAGCCAAATTTGCCTCTGGATCTCCGAGAGAGCTGGAATGTATGAGAGGGGTATACAGCGAGCGTTCTGCTGTGCAGATCTCCAAAGGGGCTCTCGTGCCCAGTGCATTACCAGGCTCCAGAAACCAGCTAATGCTCATCAGCTGTGCAGGAGTGTAAGCACACGGAGACTTGTAAAAATAACTAGTTGTAGGGCAAAGACCTTGCATTTTTAATGAGACCCTGTCCCCGTGGGAGATCTTCAAAGGAGATCTCATCTATTAGATGGACGATTCTGACCAGACATGCCCTTTGAAGAGGGATAGTAGTGTGGTTGAATTAGATTTATGCAAGTGCTCTCTCCCCTGAAGCAAGTCCCTTTTTATTGTCCTTTTTGTCAATATGCTGATTGAAATGAAAGATTGAAACTGAGCTCTTGTCAGTGCAGGTTTTCCTTCAACTAAGCAAAAGGGGATCCTCAGGGAATGTGGGGTGCTGGGGCCTGAGCTGGGCACTGTTCAGCTCAAATCCCTTTTGGAAGAGACCTGACCTGAATATGCAGACCTGGGGGTCAGCAAGAGGCATAGATGTGTGTGTCTGTGTGTATCCAGCTCATCCCATGGGCTGAGAGGATGGTCAGGAGTAATGGAGAGGAGGGGGAGGCAATTTACAGTTGAAGCTTGGTAGTGGGGGTTAAAAAAAGCCAAGAAAATACACTGGAGAGTGACACACGCACAGGGAGGTGGCAAAACCTGTCCCCTTGCTTGTTCAACCCCATGATTTTCCAAAAACAGAGATGCAAAGTGTCACTTTCAAATGCCTGTGGTTTGGGGGGTCAGTTCTGAGCTCCATTTCCCTTTGGGAAGCCACACTTGGGAACCTGGCACAAAACACTGTCTCCATGAGTTTGTTTTGATCCTGGATGCCATGAGGCACTGGGTGTGCTGGGTGCTTTTGCTTTGTGAGCTGGAACACAGCAAATGCCTTGGCCCTGCTGCAGAGGGGCTGTGGCTGAGCCCCCACGGGCTCACTGCAGAGGGGCTGCAGTCCTCTCCCAGTGCCTGACCAGCACCACCTACAAATGCAGGGAAGATACTGCCAGAGCTAATCCGGGGAGAGGGGGAGATGCTCTCTGCCCCGCAGGGAGTCAGGTCCATTTGATGCTTTTATTACTTCTTGAGGCTGTTATTAATCTTATTGTATCACTTTACATAATTCCCTTGTTCTTTTGAAGCAGTGGAACAGGCTAATGCTGTACAGAGGTCTCAGGCAGTGGCTGTTTGGGGTTCTTTTTTACCCTTAGCACTCTCTAGAGACCCTTGAAGAATGCACTTGGCAGCATAAAATCCTTCATCCTACCGTCTAATTGGGACAGGGAATATTTCATCTACCCGCAGTCAGGCAGATGTGAGCTGGGACTGAAGTCACCAGCAGCAGTCAGGTCCCTTTCATGTCCAAAGCACTGTCCTCCTGGGTCCCTGACTCCCACGGGGCCCCTTTGAGTGCTTCCTGCCCCCCACTTCCACTGAGGAGCAAGTTGGCCACTTGTAGACAAGGACTTTTCTGGGTTAATCCCCAAAGCCGCATTGCAGCCTCCCCAAGCCAGTCACTGAGCAAGGAGGGGGTAAGAGGACAGTCATGGTGTGGCCACCTCAGGACTTCATCTGAAGGTGAACTGCTTCCCACATCAAGCCCAGAGTAATCCCACCACCAGACACAGGCCTGCCTATCCCCAGGGAGCCGGTCCCTACGCCTGGCACACATCCAGGTTATCTCTGGCTCCTGAGGCAAGCTGGTGTGGGGTGAGCATCCAGGGCAAAGCTTAAATGAAGCAGAGAAAGTAGAATAATAGCAATGAGACAACAGTGCCAGATCCAGCCCCTCTCCCCAGCAGCTCAAAGCCCTGTATGCCCGTGCCTTGGTGCAAACCCCTCTCTGCCCAAGCTGGAGCACGGAGCAAGGAGCTGTGTGACAATTCCATCTCCTTCCAGCCATGACCCCAAAGTACTCCTGAATCCCTGGGAGGAGGGAAGGCAGCCTTGAGCCCCCAGAATCCAGGGGAAGTGAATAAAATGAGCTTTTGGCATAAATGAATAAAATGCTGCTCCAGAACTCAGGAGGCCAGAGGGACACACGTATCTCCTGGAGCTGGGAGCGCTGCTCCAAGGGCTGCGCAGCCATCCCTGCTGTCATGTGCAGTTCAGGGACAGCCAGGAGCCAGGGTGAGCTATTAAAATACAATTTATTGGTACAAATCAGACATCATGAAACAAACTCAGTTTAGAAAGAGCTGTCATGTTCTGCACAGATGGATTGGAAATGAACTGTCCCGTGACCGGAGCAATTGGCAGTGGTGACAGACAGACTGGGTGGACAGGTGCAGGGAGAGCAAGGCAGGGAAGAGACTGTTCTGGGGCTGGAGTCCTGCCCTTGAGGGCCCCTGACAGCCAGCTAAAAGTCCTCAAAGAGAAGCAGGGCGCAGTGGGAGAGGTCTGTCCAAGGCAGGAAGGGTCCCCAGTGCGGGGGCTCCTCCGGGTGTTCAAGACTTGGGGAAAACAGAGATCCAAGTGAGGGTGCAGGGAGGAGGGAAGAGGATGGTCACCTGTGCTGGGGCCACTCCAGTGGCTGGAAACTGTTCTTCATTCAGGTGATGTTACCTTGGGCTAGAGAGTTGTCCAGCAGTGTACATCTCTCACCTGCTTAAGCTAACAGTCCTTCTGGCCACCCAATCCCTGTGTGCCCATGCTGTTCCCAGAACAAAGGCTGGCTCTGTCCTGGACTCTGGTTGTGTCCTGGACTTTGGGCCTCCAGTCCTGCAAGTGTTTGGGTCAGGGTTTGAAGGGAAGCACCCATAAAGGCTGGGGTTTGCACTCACTTCCCAGAGAAGACAGACACCAATGGCTGCTCTGGACATGCAACACATCCCACTGGATCTCAGGGACAGAGCAATGGCCACTGCCCCAGTGCGTGGGGTCAGGCTTGGCTGAACCAGGCTTGGTCTGCATACACTTTCCATGCCTACTGGGACAGAGATACAGGCATGCAGCTCAGTACATTCACACAGCCAGACAAGACAAAGTGACAATGTTTACAGAGATGGACAGTCCCTAAGGGGACATGGGAATGGGTAAACTCAAGGCAGATTTGCTTAAATCTGGTCATATGGACCCCAAACAGCACCTGCTGCCAACACAGCTCTGCAGGATGAGATGGGAGTAATACCCCCTGCTGCCCCCCCCCCCCCAGTCCCTATAATTTTCAGTCTCTTGCTCCTTAAATCCTTTCCCCATGCTCTGGTGAGCCACTTTCCCAGCAGCCCTGCAGAATCCTGAGTGGTCCATACATGGAACTGTGTGCTGAGGGTGGACCTGGCAGCTGAAATGATGTGACAGATTCCCAGGATAGAGCCATCCAGGCTATTTCAGGTCATTGTTGATAACCACACTGTCATGCATGTCACAGTAAGTCGTCATCTTCTTCCTCTTGCCAAAGGTGGAGAAGCTGTTCTTGTTCTCCCTGCCTGGGAAGAGGGGCCCATCCTTGCTGGAAAGCAGAGTGGGAGTGCCGGGGATGTAGACGTTGTGCTGATAATCCAGGGCTGGGATGTGCCCTGGGTACAAGGGGTTGTACTGGGGGGTCCAGATGCTGTTGGGGCCTGCAGAAGCCTTCTGAAACTCTGGAGGAAAGATGAGTGTAAGACTGGCTCAGGGAGGTCACATCCACAGCTCAATGGGACAGTCACATCCATGTCCCAGGATGCAAGTCCTGTGTCAACAACCTCCCTCCCAGAGCCTGGACATCCCTTCCAGCCCACAAAACTCTACCATGTCCAGGAACAGGGATGTGACCCCCCCCACTGCACCTCCAACAAGCAATCAGAGGGTCTGGTCCTCCCGGCCCCAGTGCCCCAATACTAACCAGAGACAGGAGTCACCAGTGTGCACAGCCTCTCGTGCTCCTTCTGGAGGGCTCTGCGGATTTCCCCCACGTCTTCCAGGCTCTGGGAGCTAAAGAGAAGAGATTTGATCAAAGTTGTATTGGAGACAACCTCCCTATCCCCACATCCCCCTTCCACCTGCTCCCTCTGTTCCCACAGTGCTGGATTTGGTACCTTTTCAGGGTAGGTCGCTGAGTGCTTGGAGGCAGCCAGTCTGTGTTGGGCTGCTTGACCTGGAAAACACAGGGAAGGGCAAGGCTGGTTACTGGGACTCTCTGTCAGTCAGCCCTGGGCCCCTCTGTCACTCAGACCAGATCAGCCCTACCAGCACAGGGCTTCAGCAGCCAGGGATGCAGGACCCCATCTCCTCTTTCCCCATGTCCTTTGTGGAGATCCAAGTAGCACTTTCTTATTTTTGGGAAACTGAGGCAGCGTTGAACCAGCCTTTTCCCTTCTGGACCTCCTGAGACATCAGGGTTGTTTGAGGCTTGCTCTTTGACTGTGTGAGGTTTAAGTCTTCTGGGGAGGGACAGGGCATTTTCCTACTCCTGTTAATCTTTAAAAGCCCTGTTTTGCAGGTGCAATGGTGACTTAGCCCAGGTCTGAGGCACCAAATGGTGAGAGGTGCAGAAATTGGCTGCACGCCTGATGTCCCAGGAGGATTGCAAAAACTAGGGGAAAATCCCATTAAAGGAAGACAGTCCAGGAGTGCAAGGAGACATGTGGAGAGAAACTCTTGGCAGAGAGTCTTGGGCTCTCCTCGGAAGGGCTGGTTTATTAAAACTCAAACATAAGTGGATTAGACGCCTCATCACTCTCCATCCTTGTAATCGTATTTCGGAAAGAGTCTTTCACCGGGAAAATTAGACATTCCTCATTTCAATACCTAACAAATGTCGACATCAAAATCCCACCCCTAAGACCCCCACTCCCTCCCTGCCCGCTGGCACAGCCCGGAGCAGCGGCCGCGCCTGGGACAGGAGCAGTGCCGGCGGGACAGGGAGCAGCCCCGGGTGCAGCAGCGGGACACTGCGGAGCTTCCACGGGGGAAGCGGAGCAGCGCTGGAGCTCAGGCTGTCCCAGTGTGAATTGCTCACCCACACGGAGGAGAAGCCACCCCCACCTTCCCACCTCCCCCAGGGCACCGGAGCATCTCTGTTGCCTCTAATGGGTACAAAAGGCGGTGGGAAGGGATTTCCCCTCGCCTCAGCCTAGCCTGACGCTCCCCCGGTAATTAGACCCATCGGGAAGCTCGGTGGAGTTCCCGCTGCCTGACGGCTCCTAATTCCCGCACTGATCAAAGGCTCCGGTTGTTCTCTGGGAGAAGCCGTGCCTGGTTTCTCCCGTGGCAGAGGCTGAGGGAGGGGGCTGGGGGGACCCGCGGAGCACCGGTAAGCACCGCCGGGCACGGTGTTACCTCCTTGGAGACCTGGAGATGCTGGTCTGGCCGGGACCGCTTCCCAGGATCCTTCTCGTTGTTCCGTGGGGGGCTGCAGGGTTTGAGGAACATGAAGTCGCTCTGAGCAGACTCGGGACCAAGGCAGACCTTGTAGCAGTAGCCCGGGGGGCCGCCTGCAGGCACGTCAAGGCAGGTGGCAGCCGCGGTCCCTGCGGGGGGCTGTGCCGTCAGGTTGGAAGTCTTCAGGCCATCAGAGGAGGGTCTGGACCCAGGGCAGCAGTGGCAGCGGGGCGGGGAGCAGCTGTCACCTTGGCGGGAACGCCGCTCTCCGCGGCAGCGAATGGCTGTGAGGATGAGGATGGCGAGGAGGAAGGTGAAGGAGATGGAGCCCAGGGAGACAAGGAGGTAGAGGGTGAGTGGGGAGGATGAGGAGACCTCTGGGGGGAGACTGAACTCGCTGAAGTCGGAGAGAGTCTGAGGCATGGTCTCCACCACAGAAAGCAGGAGGGACACGGTGGCAGAGAGGGCTGGCTGCCCACCGTCCCGCACCTGCACCACCAGCCGCTGCCGGGTTGAGTCCTGCTCCAGGAAGGAGCGGAGGGTGCGCAGCTCGCCCGTGTCTGGTGCCACGCTGAAGAGGGTGAAGTCAGTGGCCTGGAGGAGCTGGTAGGAGAGGCGAGAGTTCAGCCCCGCATCCGCATCCACCGCCGACACTGTGCCCACCAGGTAGCCAGGCCTGGCTGATCGCGGCACCAGCTCAGTGGCCACGGAGCCGTTGTGTGGCAGGGGGGAAACGATGACCGGAGCATTGTCGTTCTGATCCAGCACAAAGATGTGGACGGTGACGTTGGCGCTCAGTGGGGGGAAACCCGCATCCTGTGCTTGCACCTGGATCTGGAAGCTACGGATCTGCTCATAGTCCAAGGACCGCAGGGCATACATGTGCCCGCTGTCCGAGTTGATAGACACGTAGGTGCCCACAGGCATGCCATGGATGTGCCCATCGGCAATGGAGTAGGACAGGTAGGCGTTCTGTTGGCAGTCAGGGTCCAGTGCGCTGACGGAGCAGATGGAGGCACCCGGCGCGTTGTTCTCCATCACGTAGACGCTGTAGGAGGGCTGGAGGAAGCGTGGGGCGTTGTCGTTCACGTCGGACACTGGGACGGTGAGGGTGCTGCGGGTCAGCAGGGCGGGCGAGCCCATGTCCCGCGCCGTGATGCTCACGTTGTACTCGGGCACAACCTCCCGGTCCAGCGCCTGCGTGGTGACCAGAGTGTAGTAGTTGCGGAAGGAGGAGCGGAGCTCGAAGGGTACGTTGGGGCCAACCTCACAGCTCACGCGCCCGTTGTCCCCAGAATCCCGGTCCAGAACGCTGATGACAGCGATGACGGTGCCTGGGGGGGCATCCTCCAGCACGGGTGTGGACACAGAGGTGAGGGTCACCTCTGGCGCGTTGTCATTGACGTCAAGGAGGTGCACGAGCACTCGGCAGTGAACGGCCACGGCTGAGGGTCCACGGTCCTTGGCTTGCACGTAGAGCTCGTGGAGACTGGCCCGCTCATAGTCCAGGCGGCCCTTCAGCAGCACCTGCCCGCTGCGGGGCTCTATGTGGAAGAGCTCCCGCACGCGTGGCGGCGCGTGCCCACTGAAGGAGTACTCGATCTCCCCGTTGGGGCCCTCGTCCAGGTCCGTGGCGTTGAGCTGGATGACCAGTGTGCCGGTGGGGGCATCCTCAGGAAGGCTCACGCCGTATGAGGGCTGGTCGAAGGCAGGCACGTTGTCGTTGGCGTCCAGCACGGTGACGAGGATGTGCGCGGTGCCCGAGCGCTCGGGGACGCCGCCGTCGAGAGCCGTGAGCAGCACCCGGTGCAGGCGCTGCTGCTCCCGGTCCAGGGCGCGCTCCAGCACCAGCTCCGCAAACTTGCTGGCGTCACTGCGCGTCTGCACCTCGAGGGAGAAGAAGCCGTTGGGGCTGAGGCGGTAGGTGTGCACGGAGTTGGTGCCCACGTCGGGATCCTGGGCGCTCTCCAGCGGGAAGCGGGCACCGAGCACGGCGGACTCGGCCACCTCCAGCACGTACTCTTGCCAGGGGAAGGTGGGCGCGTGGTCGTTGATGTCCAGCACCTCCACCTCGACGCGGTAGAGCTCCAGCGGGCTTTCGACGAGGAGCTGTAGGTGGAGCAGGCAGGTCCCCCCGGCCTCGCACACCTCCTCCCGGTCAATCCGCTCGTTCACGAAGAGGATCCCGTTCTCCAGGTTCACCTCCAGGTGCTGCCTGGCCCCGGCCCGTGACACGATGCGGAACCGCCGCGCTGACAGGGTGGACACGTCCAGCCCCAGGTCCTCGCCCAGGTTGGCCACGAAGGCTCCGTGCTCCAGCTCCTCGGGCACGGCGTAGCGCAGCTGCCCGCCCGCCGGGGACCCGGCCAGCAGGAGGAAGAGGAGGGAGCGGAGGAAGAGCTGCCCCCGCCCGGAGCCTACCCCGGCCCCCATGGCTCCCGGGGACGCGGAGTCGCACCCGCGCCGCCGCCTCGTCTTCGCTCGCCCCTTACACTTCCGAAGAGTTTCAGGCTCCCGGGGGCGGCAGGGGAGGGCCCTGCCCCGGAGCTGGGGGGCCGAGCCGCGGCCACCAGCGGCCACTTAACCCTTTCCCCGCTGGCCCCGGCGAGGGGCTGCAATCCGGGTGCCGGTGCCACAGCAGAACCTGTTTACCGGAGCCGGACACACCTGGGGAGGAGACCAGCTCCGAGGAGATCCCGCTAACGGCGGTGGGAGCTCGAGAGAGACCGATCGCTGCCCGGGGCACCGGTATTACCCCACAGATGCTGTGCTCGTCCCCGCGGTAGATTAAGAGGAGCCCGGATCGCGGCGGCTGCCAAATCCCCCGGCCACGTCCCCCGCCGTGCCGGTCCTAACCTTTACCAGATGGTTAAGCCCCTCCAGACTTGATTACATTTCCCTGCACACCGTTTTCCTTGTAATGCGGAGTTTTTAATTACCGGAGCAGGGGGGATTACAGCCCTGGATAAAGCTGAGCCCATCAGCGCGGAGGCACAGAGACCCCCCCCCCTTCCCTGCTTGCTCCCACCCCCGACACCCCGCTTGCCCACAGCCCCGCGCCCCTAATCCCGCTCCCCCACCGGCTACGCCAGCGTCAGCCCCATCGGGCTCTCGGGGCACGATCCCGCCGGCGACCACAGGACTTACCACCCCAGGCCCCCAGCGGTCCCCCCACCCCGGGCACAAACTTTCCGCCCCCCGCGGAAGGCGAGGGGGAGGCGGGAACGGAGCGAGCCGCGGGTCCCCCGGAGTGCGACAGACGGTGCCCCCCGCGCCCCCCCCGTCCCCTCCCCGCCCCGGTACCGCTCACGGTCCCTCCGCTGGCCGATCCGTTCTCCCCGCAGACCCGTCTCCAGCCGCCGCCTCGCCCGGGCAGCTCCGCGCGTCCCCTCCCACCGGCGCCGTCCCCGGGGGCGCTCGGTAACGGGACGGGGCGGCCGCTGCCCCCGCCCCGCGTCTGCTCAGGGTGCGGATAATCCCCTAACGATCTAGTTAAGGGCTCGGCGGGGCTCGGAGCGGCTTTAGCCGGGCACTGATATTTCACCGCCTTTGTCTCTGCCTCCCCTGTACCCGGTGGGAAGGGAATCGCCGGCCCCAACCGCTCCCCCCACCCCGCTCCCCGCGGGGACCCGCGTGGGAGGCAGGATCCAGGGGCGACCGGGAGACCGGAGGAGGCAGGAGGCGGCAGGGCTGGAGGGGTTTGTCGGGCTGGGGAAAGGGGATTTGGTCCCTGGGAGCGCAGCGGGACCCACGCGGGACGAGCCGCGCTCGTGGGGCCGCCGGTCAGGGAGAGGCGCGGGCAGGGGCGGGCGGGTGGAAGCAGCGGCGCGGCTGGGGCACGCGTGGGCTCGGGCCGCTCACGGGTGGAATCGGGACGGCTCCCGGTAAGTGAAGCCTAGGCTGGCATCGCAAGCGCCGGTCACTGCCAGCCTGTCCCCCGCACCATCTCCCACGCCGGGGCCACCCCTGGCGCCGTCGCTGTCACCCCCCGCCCCGATCTGTTTCTCTCTAATCCCCCCCAACCCGCGATCTGCCCCCCCCGCCCCGCCCTCCATCACTGCCCAACCCTGCCGGGGCTGGGACCTCGGAGGAGGGGTGGCGGGGGTACTGTTCCTCTGGGAGCCCCCCGAGGACTGCTCAGGCCAGAGGGGGATTGGGAGGTGGGGGTGGAACTGTACACAGAGATTTTCGGGGGTATTATTTCACTCCCGCCAGTCCTTCCCCACCTCCTACCAAGTGCATTTTGCAAAATCCTTGAAGCGGCTCTGGTCCTATTGTTTGATTTAGATTAAAATATTCACCATCACCGCACGCCCCCACAGGTGCACCGGCAGGATCCGAACCCTCCCGGCTCCCTGCCCGATCCTTCCTACCCTTCTCCAGCTCTGTTCGGTGGTGCCCCCTCCTCGCCCCCCGCAGTTTTTCATCGTTGCTTCCTTGCGGGAGGGGGATCGGTATCATGTCCCCTCCTTGCTTCCCCCCCAAGGGAGGTCACAAGATAGACCCATGCTGTTCCTTTTCCTCATCTCCCCAGACCTCGGGGTCTCTTCCTGCCCCTTTCCCAGCCCCCACAATTCCGGGGGACCAAGGTCAAAAACGTGTGGGGGCTTGAGAGGAGGTACAGACTTGTTTGGTGGATTCCTTTCCTGAAGGAAATGGCACAGGCTGGGAGTGCTGCAGAGGGACAGAGGATCCAAAAAAGAGCCCTGTTCGGGAGGGAAACGAAGGAGTGGGATGGGGTGGACAGTGTAGCACCCCCACCAACACCCCACTTCGTGTCCTGCAGATTTTAAGGCCCCTCTTGTGGTGCAGGGGTGTGTTCAGCTGCCAGCCCTGCTCTCTTGGGGTGAGGAATCAGGACACGGCTAGGAGCTTGTTTTTGGAAGATGCTGGAAGCTAGAAGGGGGATGTCTCTCTGAGATGCCTTGGCACGGGCGGGTGGGTGGCCGGTTGCCGCAGGTCAGCACTGACGTGCCTTGGCAAGGCCACCCGGAGAGATCAGGGTGGGATGCAGCAGGATATGCCGCAGGTTGAGCCGCCTTGGAAAAGCCACGCAGAGAGCAGGGTTGGGGGGGACCATCACCCAGCTGCCTGGGGGAACCAAACCTTGCCCAGCCACCGCTGTCACTCCATTTTCCTGCCTGCTGCGTTCTGGGGCAGCACAAGGGGCTGCAAGAAACACTGTCCCTGCCAGACCACGCAGCCCTTCCCCCAGCTCCCCAGGGCTCCCGTCTGCCCAGCCGTGCATGTGGCTTCACTGCGCCCTTCTCGCTCCAAGCGGGAGCAGTTACAGTTTGTGGTGCCCAAGAGGGCAACCGTGGTGGGAGGGGGGTCTCTTGGTGGGAAGGAGAGCAGCCCTGGCCCCGCAGCTGGGAAGTCACTCCGGGGTTGCTTCTGCAGGGTCAGGTGCTGGGGGGGTTTGGTCTTTGAAGCCGCAACGCTCTGTGCAGCAGGATGCTGCTTCTTCCTCTCCAAACCTTGGTTCCCCCCTCGGGAGGAAAGCCCATGCCCTGGAGGGGATGGTGGCTGTCTTGGAGAGTTTATCAGGGCTGGTGGACGCTCTGCCTGCTCTTGGATCCTGGGATGCAAGACGTGAAACACGCCCAACTCCTTTCAGAGGCAGGATGAAAAGCTAGGGGCATGAGCTGGAGAAAGGAAGTTCTTATTATGGAAAAAATCTTCCCTGTGAGGGTGATAAACACTGTCACAGGGACCAGACTGGGGCAGGAATTGCCATCCTGGAAATCCTCCTGATCTCTAGCTCTGAGCAGAGATGCTCCAGGGACTTCCAGAGATCCTGATGGAACAAAACCCTGGTGTGATTCAGAAAGTCCCAATCTGTAGCAACCCACGCTGAGCAGAGGTGAGGAGGTCACCAAGGCAAGGGAGATCACTGCCCAAGGGCCCAGGGTCTGAGAGTGCAGGTCCTATGTTTGTCAGGAGCCATTTCTCTGCACAGACCCCATGCACAGAGGTGAATGGAGCAATGAAGGATGCCGGGACTCCATTCCCACTGGAAGTCCTTGTCTATGTGCTCTGGTCTGCAGGGTACTGGAATTGCTCAGCACCCTCCTCTTCCCCAGCAGCAGTGCAGGGAGACCTTTTGCACCAGACAGGATGTGTTCATGAAGTCCTGTGTGGTTTGTAGGTGAGAAGATGTAGCTGAGGTGACCAACTCAAGGGTCACTACTGGTAGAGGACACTGGATTTTTTTGGAACAACTCCCCCAGTCCCTCTGCCTGGGACAGATGGCAGCTGAGACACAGGCTCAGCTCCAAGTGGACCCTCTGTAGCCATCACCTACTTTTGAGCATTTTCAGGACATGGGGCCCATTTGTGCTCAGCTTCTGGGGGAGGCAGTTCTGGCTCCCTGTAAGACACAGACTTCACTGGCAGCTCAGGAAGCCAATGTGTCCTCTCCTGCTCCAGAGGAGGGGAATTTCTTGCAGGCCCAACCTGCAAAGAGAGCTGCTCTAATGGCTGGTGTCTTGTTGATCTTGAAATAAGAGACCAGGGACACAAAACAAAAGAAGGATATTCCCCCATTATCCTGAGAGCTGGGACTCATATTGCCCTGGGCATCCTCTGAGCGGGTCTCCCTAAAATGTCCTAAGGGAATGTTCCTTCTCTGCTGAGGACTGAGAAGGAAGGGGAGATCAGTGAGCAGAAAAGTAAAGGTGAGCAAGAGTGAAATGATTGCATGGGGGAAGAGCAGAGGCTCTGGGAGAGAGGAGGTGACATCTCTCCTCTGTCAGGCACCAGTGTGACTGATCTTGGAATATTACGCACAGCACCTGTGCCTGAAGTTTTGAAAGAAGATTAAAAAACTGATTCAAGGCTTGGAAAAATACCGTTCAGGGAGAAGCGTAAGTGAAACTGCCTGAATTCTGTGCAAAAATAAGCCAGAGAAGGTTTGATGGTAAAGCCAGGCAGGTGTCACAAGGAGGAAGGCTGGGGACAACAGAGCAGTCTTAGGACTGTAGAGCCGTGGCTTGAGCCTGACATCTTCATGTATTGGGCAGTGAGAGAGAATTGAGCTGCCAGGACTGTTGATGGTGGCCATATCTTTTGGTATCTGCAGATCTGTGTGGAAAAAAAGATTCCCAAATTCCCCAGTATATCCTGATAAAATGGGAAGACTGGCCCCGGGGAGAAGGGTTCTGGTTGACCTCACCTCCTCCAGCAGAGAAACCTCTGCAGCTCTCCTCTCTGTGTGGGTGATTCTACAAGAAATTTGACCTGCTCTTTCCTGAGAAGAAGGTCCTGTAGCCACAAGGGAGTACCTTGTCAGCTCCCAAAGTAAGGGGTTACAACCCTAACACAGCCCAAACATAACCCTTACAGCTTCCCTTGGCAGAACTCATGATCCTGTGCTTAGATCCTGAAACCTCTCCTCTCCTCCCCTCTCCTTGGGCAATGTGCTAAAGAGCAGCTGGAAAAGTTGGAGCTGAGACCCCAACAAGGAGGCCAAGGGGCAGAAGTTGCACTGGATGTTTCCTTGTCCTCTCACCACACACATCTTGCATCAACACCCAAACAATATCCCAGTGCCTGCAGTCCATGTTGGAGTCCCACATCCCTGGGATAGGCTGGTGGTTTCAGAAGGGAAAGGCAGGAAAAGGTATGTTTCCTTTGTCCCTATTTCTAGTTTTTAGCCATCTGATTCTATGAAATCAGATCCTGGATCTCTGGAGTAAAAATTCTAATTCTTCCAGTCTTGGACAGATATGGGAATGTTTCCTGTTTCCCTGCCCCTCCTTTCACTTCATTTCTCTGTCCCCATTCCCAGGATACGGACCACCTCTACCTTCCCACTCTCTCCTGGCCTCTACCAGGGACTGTGTGTCCCCCTGGGACACTCCCCAACATCCCCATCTTCTCCTGGGAGCTTTGCAGATCCTCCAGGTCTCCCTTTTCTCCCCCACCAGCCCTACTTCTTTCCTCTCTGTCTGGGAGATCAGTCATCGAGGGTGTCGACGCACACGCACCCGACTCCCCCGGGAGGATGGGGAGCTGGAAGCTGGGGGTGGTGTTCTGCTGCGAGAAGGCAAAGCTGCCATCAGCAGCCGCTTTGATCTGGAGACAATTACAGACGAGTGTAGGACCCCGCTCAGCTGAGCCAATAAATAATGGAATTTGTGTGTTGACACAGACAGATTTCCCCCAAACTGTCAGAGAAGGGGAGACGAGTGAGTGAACGGGAGCCCGAGAGGCTGGAGGGAAGGGGAGAGAAGCAGGAAGGGGAAGGGATGAGGAGGGCCTGTGGGAGAAAGGAAAAAAGAGAAGTTTGGGAAGGCAACGCTGACGGGGGGAGCCGGGCAGGGAGGAGAAGGAGCCTAAGGAACACATATTTGTAGAGGGGAAGGAAAATCAAGACAGGAACTGTGGGTGGAAAGAGAGGGGGGGGGGAGTGCTGCATACGCAGCTGGAAGCAGAGGGAAAAAAAAAATCTGAAGGTGGAAAAGAAAGAGAAGGAAGAACAAAGGCATGGCAGTGTCCCCGGGGCTCCCTGGCTGCCTGGCAGATCACACGCTCTCCGAGCAGGGACCATATTCCCGCAGCCCTCCGCGGAGCGGCCCTGACCCCCCCGGGGCGCTCAGCGCCGCGGAGCTGGCGGTGGGGAGGCACGCATGAGTTGGTGAAATGGTGCCACTGGTGCGCAGCCAACAGCAGAAATTTGCTCTGAGATCACAAGTCCCCGAAAAACCTCCTGCGGACGCCCTGTCCCCGCGCTCCCCCTGCTCCTCCCCACCTCCCTCTCCCTGCTCCCTCTCCAGCCCCGAGCTGTTTGTTCTCTGGCTGATGATGGTTTTGTACTTTGCTTGCAACAAAGCAAAACCTCCCCTGTGCTCAGGAGCCCCACACTAAGCCCAGAAATCATCCATCCTTCCAGCAAGACTCCAACCTGGCTGCAGCAGCAGATCTGACTGGGATGGGGGAGGCACCAGGGCTCTCTCCTTCCTTCCAGTTTGGAACACTCAAGAGCCCTGCTTGATCCATTTTGATCCCACCTGTGGACTGAGCCAAAAACTGTTTGGAGAGTGGCCCAGCTTGCTGAGGTCTCCAGGTCAAGAACCACTTCACTGTGGGTGTCCCCTGTTTGAAAAACCTGTGTCCGAGTTTCCCATCCAAGCTGCAGGTGGGAAGCAAAAACCTCCCAGCCCAGGGATTTCCCCCCTACAAGTCTCCACCCTGCCTCCCATCCCTTCCTCAATGGCCCAGAGAAGCTGCGGCTGCCCCATCCCTGGAAGTGTCCAAGGCCAGGTTGGACGGGGCTTGGAGCAACCTGGGCTAGTGGAAGGTGTCCCTGGCAGGGGGTTGGAATGAGATGAGCTTTGAGGCCCCTTCCAGCCCAAACCATTCCAGGATTCTATGATTCCTGCTCCCTTCTGCAGCAACCCCAGCTCCAACCAGGGGCTGAACCTTTGCCCTTCCACAGGTGGGGCTCTCCTCTGGGGACACCTTGTCCCCCTGCATGAGGAAAGCAGGGCAGGTTACAGGTTGGGCCAAGGGTTGACTGATCCAGGTGGCTCTCAGGGTGTCCATAGACTTGGAGGGGCAGGAATACTGCCTCTGGAGTTATGTGGGATGATGCCACAGCAGCAGGTCAGCTGAAGGAGCGTGAAAGACCCAGAAGCCTCAGCAAAACAGGGATTTGGTGGCACAGCCTCCTGCCCCCACCGCACCAGGTCAAAGCAAGGCAGGAGGGTTTCCAGGGATATTGCCCATGGATGTTGTTTAGCTGTAACGATGGCAAATGGCAGGAATGGCTGCCTAATTGGGGCAGCAGTAGCTTGTGGCCTGAGCAGTGGGAGGACTGGAGCTCCTGCCAAGCTCTTAAACCTTTCGGGATGTAAAACTGATGTAGAGCGCTGAAAAGCCATGTCTTTTGCTAATAAAGTCATGGAAACAGGGAATGATTCAGCTGGCCCAGGCAGAGCAACACACAGGGCTGGGCTGGGACCCCTTCTCCAAAATCACTCCAGGTCCCTGATCCCAGTCATTTTACTGGGATGGTGGGAATGCTGCTGCTGCTCCCCCAGTCCCAAGGAGGACATGCAAAGAGTGAAGGGAAGGTGGGCTGGCAGGAGAGGGCAGGGTTGAGGGGTGCCCAGGAAGGAAGGAAAGGGGAAGAAGAGCAGGATATTGGTGCTTAGCCACTCCATGAGGCCTCAGCCCTCCTCTCCAGGGTGAGGCCAGGGAAGAAGTCTGGGAGAGAGGAAGTGGAGAGGGCAAGACAGATTTGTTTTCTCTAGGGTCTGCTATGGACATATCTCCAAACACTGCCATCAATATTTAATAGGATGCAGCCACAGGAGGCCAGCTCAGGCTGAGCGTGGTCCCCAGCCTGGCTAGGACACCCTCATCCTTCCCCCACGTCCTCTGAGCCACAGGTCATGAGGAACTGCCCCATGCCCAAGGCAGAGCCTTGTACCTCTGCCCAGGTGCTGGGAACAAACACCCAGCTGGCTCCAGGCACCTCAAAACACTTTCACAGCAAGACCAGGCCGGACACCCCAGCCCGGGTGTGGGAACCACGCAAAATGCCCCTCCTTACTCCACCAGATCCCAGTTTTAACCTGCGGAAGAGCTGCATCCCCTTTTGACAAGAGCAAATAGAGGACCCAGCAGGTGCAGATCACCTGGCCCTGTTCGCTGGGGTGGGAGGGGAAGCAGGAAGGGGAGGTGCAGAGCTGGGGCCTCCCTCTCTCCAATCAAAACCCCAAGTCCTGACCGACACAGGCACATCCAGCACCTTAAAGTCATCATGGAGATGGTGAATAGTAATGAAGAGTCACAGAGACCCAACAGCTCTAGTGTTGGGAGCCACGAGCTAAGGGTTAACACCCCCTCAAACAGCAGTGGGAGTAAAGGGTTAACGTGGCTGGTGCAGGGAATGTTATCTGTCTCTTCTCTAAATATTATTTCCTCCCATGAAACCAGCTTTTCATCCTTGGCTAGAGGCAGCTCCCGCTGCTGGGAATCCAGCAAGAGCTTGTATCTGCTGCCGCACACACCACTGCTCCCAGCAAGCCGCCGAGACAAAGAGCTGCACTCCCCGGGCGTGAGCAGCCCCAGCACGGGGAGCTGGGGCCGGGACTTCGGCCCCCAGGGCGCAGGTGGCCTCGGGATGGGTTTGGGGAGGACAGGCTTTACACCCAAGAGGAATCTCGTTAATGAAAGCGCTGCACTGCGGAGGGATTTCCTCCCTGTCTCGCAGGGACCGGGAGCAGCAGGCAGGGACGGGAAGGGCCCGGTGGCAGGAGGCTGTGCAAGCCCGACCACCTCCCCAGGGAAGGTTTTCTTGGGGGCTGCCCATTTCATACCTTGCCCCTTGCGTGTGCCAGGATGGACAAGAACAGCGGGATGCTCCATGGGGAAACCAAGGCAGCAGCCACTGGCTGCAAGGTCACAAGCTGGGAAAGAGGGAGGGTGCGGGGCAGCCCTTCCCAAGCAGTGCCGACCGAGTTCCTGGCTGCAGAGAGGGGCTGGGTGTCTGCAGAGCTGGTGGCTGGGATAAAATGGCTGCTGCTAAATCTTCTCTGAAACATCCTAAACTTTTAATGTGTATGAAACCACGGCAGCATCCCTTTTGCACCCCGGAGGGCACGAAGGCGCGAGCGGCTCCGCTCTCCCATTCAGCCGGAGCCACGTGCTGCAGCCTGCACAGCGCTGGGAACGTGGCTGGAATGAAAGTTGCCCTCCCAGCCCGTGTGCTCAGAGAGCCGAAGTCAAAGGATTGCCAAGTTAAAAGGGTCAAACCTCCAAGGACAGCTGTATCTGACTGGCTATATATCATTTCAATAGCATCTTCAACGGGGATTATAATCTGAATTGAAGCGGAAAGACCTGAGGCAATGAAGCTGTCAGCAGGCTAAGATTAAGGAATTAAAACAGCAGCACAACATTACAGGATTTGTTCTAGATGTATTAGAAAGAGCAGGCTAAACACTGCAGCCTTCCCCAGGCTGGAAATTTCATACGAGCACGGAGAAGGGCAAGCGCAAGGATTTCATCAATATACATAAAAAGAGAGAGGAGAGTGAGACAGAGCCACGAAAACCCAGCCATGCAAAATATAAATCCTAACTGCAGACGGAAATGAGTCACACAAGGTTTGACTGAGGTAAATAAAAGCTGAAATGAAGTGGATTTAGGGGAGGGCAGAGGTGAAAAGACACTGACAGCCAGTAGACAGGAAAAAAATGGCCCTTAATATACTAAGGCTGATAAAATCTGGAAAGCAGCCCAGCCTGTCTTGGACTGCATGATGGAAATGCAGGTCCCCAGCCCTGAAGTCCCTTCCCCCTCCCAAGTTCTTACACCCTTCTCCAGAATTACTTAAAAAAACCAAGAATGATGGCAACTGCCCATCTAGGGCAGCTGGGAGCTGAGCCAGGAGAGGGGGGCACACGCCACGCCTTTGTCTCCATCGAGGTCCCCAGAAGGCCAGCCCAGCTTTGTGCTGACAGGAGACATCAGCAGCTCTTCTCAGTGGGCAGCAGAAGCTCTCAAAATAAATAAGGCATCAAACTCCCACCAAAGGACCCATTAAAAGAGTCAATTTATTTCTGGCAAATCGAACACACCTTTCTTTCATTGGCTCTATCCTAGACCGGTCGTGGGGAGGAATTTCTCCCCTGCCTTAAAGAGAACGAAATTATGGGATAAAACACAAAGAAAAAGCAGGGAAGTCTCCCTTGCAGGTAAAACACACAGGAAAGTTTCAGCAACCCAGACTCCATGCAGCCACCAGCCCTGCTCAGCACAAGCCATGAAGATGCAGGTTGTACCGCTCACACCGCTCGCTGTGGCACATTTCCTTCCGTTACGATCCCAAAAAAACCTGGATCCCTCCCTGTGCCTCAAACACAGCCCGGGTGACAACTAGGGCCTGGTTGACAACTAGATTAATCCTGAACCAGGCCACCTGTGCAGAATGGCTGCACTTTATTGACACAAAAATGTACCCAGCAGAGCAGTTCCCAGCAGGCACACGGCCACAGAGCAGCTGAGCAGCCAGATCTAGGACACAGAAGGAGATGGGAAGCTAATGAGAGGCGGAGCTTGTTCTGCAGCACAGGTAGAGCATGGAATCACTTTTCGACTCCTCCAGCCAACTTCTACTGAGAGATTTACATACAAGTCCTCCATCAAGTCTTTGAAGAGTTATCCAGAGTTCCCTGGGTAAAAACAAACTGTTTAGAGAAAGAGGAGAGTCCAGAGCTGCTCAGTGATTCTTTTTGGTTGAGCCAAAACCAGAGAAGCCCATCACAGCTGCCATTTCATCATCCTCCTCAAAGGTCAAATCTTCCTCCGCCCGCCTCTTCTTCTCTCTCTGCTTCTCCTTCTTGTAGGCTTTGGCCTTCTCCTCCTGCAGCAAGGGACACAACAGCAACACAATTTGCACCTCCTGAGCTGAGGGAGCTCTTGAGACACCGGGCACTGCACAGCTAAAGCCATGTCCTCCCTAAGGCACCCAAGTTGTGCCTGAGGAAATAGGCAGCAGAAATCCTGGCCTGTGGTCTCTGAGGAGAACATTTCCCAGAGAATCCAGACCACCTGGCCTCCCACCCCAAGAGCAGACCCACACACACAAGATGTAGCCAAAAAAAAAAAAAAAAGCGTTATGAAACTCTCTCTTCTGAGCAAACATCACAAGTTATGCCTGGAATGAAGGCTGAGGCAAGAGGGAGCTGGTTTGAAAGCAGGAGGCTGTTCCCTCATTCGACGCCCCGTGCCAGTGACTGTGATGCCTGTTGGCTCTCGGCCTGGCAGAGTGACAGCTGCTCACTGGAACAGAAGCTGAAGCTCTGAGCAGCTTTGGGGGGGGGGGGTTGGCATCAAAGAGTTTGCGCTGCTCTAATCAAAGTGTTTTGCTCTGTGAGGATCACGAGCCCTGGAACAAAGCCAGGCTTGTACCAGGTGACACCAAGCATGGCTTCAGCTCCCATCTTACCAACTGCTCCTGCCATCCCCAGCACGCCTGCTGCGCCGTGCCCTGGAGAAAGCTGTGTCAGGAGTTGCTGCCCATTTCCTTGCTGCCATCCATGGACTTGGCAGCAGCTTTCCAACCCACAGCACTCCCTGTGCTGCTGGGGCACCTCCCTCCTACCCCCCCCAAACAGATGGGGCTTTGCCCAAGGGCAGAGGATGGGGCTGCTCTGTGAGCACCCCAGAGAGCTCCCCTGTGGTGAAGCAAAGCTCAGGGCTTGGGCAGGGAGACTCAAACAGGCAGTGATTTGTAATCTTGGGTTATTACATGGCTGCTGATGGAGGAGAAGCATCCATAGCAGCTCCTCGGCTGTCAGAACTTTGGTGGGCTTTCAAGTCAACTTGATTTTCATGTTTACTGACACCTAAGCCCTGGTTTGAGAGGAATCTGCTGTCTTTCACCTCCTCCTCACACATCTCACACCACAGCACACTGCTCACAAAGCCCTCTGACACTCAAGGAGGCCACACAGAAGCAAGTGCCATGTGGAGGAGGATTCCAGCAATCCTAAGAACTGTGGAAGATAAGGGACAAAGACACAGGTCTGCTTTCAGAGCACACAAGTTCCAACACAACTAATGGGAGACAAAAAATGGGCTCGTGCCACATTCAGTGGAAACCCAAACCACCAAAAGTTATCCTCCCACAGAAAATGGGGAAAAGGGTTTCCAGAGACAGCAGCAAAAACCTTTAAAAGAGTAAATAATAAAAAACCAAAACCCACTCATAGCAGCAGACAAGAGTGATACCAAGAACAAGGCTTCTGTGGAACAAGATAAGGAAGCAGGGTTGATTTCCTCCCAAAATGTGATTCTGAGGAGCTTTGCTTCCTCAGTTTTTGCCCCAGACTCACCTCCTCACGGAGTTCCTTCATCCTCTCCTCGAAGTCATAGTCCTTCTGCTTCTCCTCCATCTTCTTCTTGTTCACCTCAAAGCGTTTCTTCACCTGGTCCAGCGTGGAACGCTCCACCCGCATGGACATGCCCAGATTTCTCTGGTCTGGAGAACAGGAGTGGGATCAGCCGTGTTCAGCAACACCTGCAGCCCTCAGTGCTCTGCACAGTCCCCATCCCTGACCCCAACTGAAACAGCACAGCAGCATCTTCCTGCCTCTCATCCATCCCCTCAAAGCAGTTTCCAGGCCTGGACTACCCCCGTGCACAAGGATTTCTTAGGTCAGAGGGCGTGGGCTTTAGGGGGACACCATAACCCAAGCCAGCAGTGACCACAACAAGCCAAACATTACTTGTAACAAGACAAACACTAACTATTCTTTTAAGGCTCCCTATTTGGATGCTCCCTGTCATGTTGGTGCTCTGATGCTTCAGGAAATTTAAACTTGGACCAGTGGAATAAAAACGGGTTGGAGTGTTGAAAAAGGAGCCATAATAGAACTGGCAGACTGGCATCTCTTGGCAGTGGGTGATGCTAAACGAGACATGAGTGGCACTCAGAGATCCTGATTACACAGGACATTGCTCACTAAAGCAGGAACAGGAAATATTAAGCCAGGCTGCAACTTTAGTGTCTCTTTAGAGCAGATTCCCAGTTTCTCACTCATGGGCAAGCCTAGGTTGGAGGGGCCATCCCCAGCAATGTCTCCAACTCGCATTCCTGGGTAGATCCAAACAGTGTGTTGACTCCAGCAGCCATGCATGGGTTTGTCCCAGGGATGCAAAAGCACTTGGAAGCTCAAACTATACACCAGGAATAATAAGAGGACTGCCAAGAACAAGCAGGTTTAAGCCAGATTTATGGCCTTGGATCAAAAGCTCTCAATGTACTCATACCAAGGTACTGTGCATCAGCCACTTTCCAGTCCCAGCTCAACCCTGCATCTCATCCCATCCACACAGCCATGCCAGGATTTTGGATTCCAGGCTCTCTCATACGGATTTCTTGCCAATCTCCCAACATGTCAAACAAGGCATGTCAACACCCTCCTCCCATCCACATAAAAGCACAGGGCTTTAACACATTGGGTTTCCTTTTCTGAGCTACAGAAAACCAGCCCTCAGATCTCTTCTGAACCCCCAGTTCTCAAACTGCCCCTTGTGCAGGTCTGGAGCACACCCCTCCCGGCCTTTTTGCAAAGGGGCCATTTGCTGACTTCCACAAGGAGCCAAAAACACCTCTAAGGGAAGGAACAACATGGGAAGTGTGTCAGTGTATCCTGCTGCTCCTTTAATTCCTCCACGTTCCCCCACTCTCTGAACATGCCAAGGAAAAGCAATGATCACAGTCAGTTTGAGGGTATAATCCTCTTTTTCAGGTTAAACACACTAAGGGAACAGATTGATAAACTGGGAATTCTTCCCTCTTGTCTTTATCTTGACTTAACTGCATCATCACAGCAGCAGAGACAAGAACCAGAGTGAGGTACAGGCCACCACCACCACACTGCTGGAGACAGCTCCAGAGTCAAACTGCCCCACTCCTGCCTCTGCTCATCCTCTGCCTCCATCCTCACAAGGTCTGATCTGGAGCTCAGGGACAGCCAGTTTTGAGCTTCACACTTGACTTCTATAAAGAGAAGTTTCCAACCCAAAAATGGGCCAGTGACAGACCTTATACTTCTCTAAAAATTTCATTACAGTTTCAGTGCTGTGAAAAGCCTCTCTCCAGATTTTCAGGAGACATAGGGATTTGCTGACCCTGGGAAGATACACCTAACCAGAGTACACCACCACTGTTTCTGCTGGGCTTATTCCATGAGAATGGTCCAGCACACTGGAAGGTGCCAGGAGATAAAGGCAGCGCCTCCACAGCTCTCAGGAGCACAGTCCCCACATCCTGATGTCCAAAGCACTCTCATCCATGGATGTGTTCAGCCCTCAGATATGGGTGATGCAGGAAGGGAACAGCCCTCCAACTCAACCAACCAGAGGCAGAGAAATGATCCTTACGTTTTTTGCCATTGATGTGATCCAAGAAGTTAATAGAATCTTTCACCACACAGTCACACACATTACAGTAGTACCTGGCAGGAGAGAGAGAAAAGATTAACCCCAAAGCATGAGACAAACCCCTTCCCACAGAACAGCTATTTGAGACAAATCTGCATGTCAACTGGGATATGGGACTTTTTTCCAGGACAAGAGGATCCCAGGGAAGAGCAGTGAGCAGGGGCACACTCCAGATGGACAGAGACACCCCAGAGGGATCTGCCCTTACACCAACACCCCTCTGACATGATAGAAACCAAATTCTGAGCTGCTCTGCAATACCAGCCACAGCATCTTCCCCTTCCAGTCACACCCAGCTGGGTGGGATGGATTCTGTGACCTGTCCTCCCCCAGTTCCTTTACATCCCCCTGCTTTTCACCTGGCTGCAAGGTGAGTCCTGCCATCCCCATCACCTCACAGAGCAACTCCCTGATCTGCTTTCTGCCCATCTCAACAGCTGCTGCAAAAGCCCAGCCAGGGGCTGCACTTCCATCCCTGGATGCTGTTCAGGGCTGCACATCTCCCTGGCACTGCTGGCCAGGGAGACACTAACAGGCTCACTCCTGAGGTGACACAAACTCAACACAGTCATTTAAGGTGAGCTCAGAATCCTTTCAGCCTTTGGTGGAAAACGATCCACACAAACAGTGGCCAAACACCATTCCTAAGGACAGGTATCTGGATGTTTCTCCCATTCCCTGTGCACAGATATCCAAACCAGAATCTCAGATCAGCAGCAGCCCTGCTCTCAGTGCAAGCAGGTCTGGCTAAAGAAACCCAAGCAGGTGGCAAAGATTTGCCTCCTTGTTGTTCCTACAGTTGGACAACACTGATATCAAGGAATAATGTCCAAAGGGGCTCAGCCTGCTGGGTCTCTTCCATATGTTACCCCAAGAGACACAATTTAGGTGTAAACCAGTGCAGTCCCACTGCTCCAGGCTCCAAAAACAGGAGGAAACCAGCTCCTGGTGCCCTGTGAGGGGTCCCTACTGTGACACAGCCCCCCAGCACAACTCTGAGACTCCAACGAGACCATGACCTACCCCCCCATTTCTGACTGAGGGGTAGTTTTGGTGATGACGATGGTTTTCCCCAGCTTGGATTCCAGGTCCACTTTGTAGTCTCGGTGCCGCAGAAGTTCCCTTTTGACGGGCTGAGCTGGTTTGCCTGCAACATAAACAAAAGGTCAAGCCTGACATGGTGGATTTGATGTTTCCCTTGGGGAAGAGGGGCCTGCTGGGAACCTGGGACCACCTGATCCATGCAGAAAATGCACCTTTGTTTTTAAGTCAGTAAAGGATATAATATCTTCCTACTAGAACCAGGTACATCTCTGAGGTATCTCCAGCTCTGACTCGGGTCATATTCTGAGAGCTCCTTCTTTCAGGGGCTGACTGTTCCCCTCCCTCCCCAAAGGTTCTCACTAATTCCTGTTGTCAAAAAAATGCACTCAGTGGTAAACACAGGAAAAAGGACTGGAGCAGGCCAGTTTTTCCCTTCTGGGACTTGACTTCTAGCTGCTCTCTCCCTCCCAAACTCCAGGGATTTGGGAGACTCAGTGCCAGCACAGCACAGCCTGCCTGGGGCCAGCACACCACGCACCATCTTTCTTTTCTCTCTCCTCCGTGAGCCGCTTCTCCGCCAGCTTCTCATATTCATCCTTGTCCCACTTCCTGCGGAAGTCCAGGTTCTTGGTCTGGGGGGCAAACAAAGTGCATTAACATTTATCATACAGTCTGATCACCTCTGAGGGGGGAAAAGAGGTGGAATCACTCAGCCTGTGAGGCCACGGCAGTAAATTAGGGGCATTATGTTATATCCCCATGTCCTTTGTTTTCCTATCTAGGAATTATGGATGTGGCTTAAGAGAATCACTCTCAGCGTGGCTCTGGGTGCTTACAGAAGGATTTCAGAGCACTGAGAGAAGAAATGAGTTTATCTCAATAGCTCCTGAGACGATCATCCAGGCTTTTGCCTTGAAAACTAGACCCAACTGGGATTGAAAGTGCTGGATCTAAGACCTGGGAAGTGCCCCCTGACAGACACAGCACAGATTACACCTACTCCTTCCAAGAGTCAATTGAACCCAAGTTGCAAATAACAGATGAGGAAGCTGTGAAACAGTCTGAGCTAGAGAGTTTGATTAAAATGCAGGAGCAGGGAAGGCTGTTACAGGCATCAAAATGCAGACTTTGCCGTGAAATCAGAGGCATCAGTGTGGGACTTCCAAGTAGAGCAAAGCAAACCAGAAAAGGCTCTGAAACCCTGTCTGTCAAGGCAGGGCTTGGAAGTACCAGAGAAGCATCTGTACAAAATGCACAGAAAGCTCCTGCAGCTTCCTACAGAAACACCTCCGAGGCACTGGGCCTCCAGCAGCTCCACAGAGCTCTCTCTGGCACTGACAGGGTAAGTTCATGGAATCATGGAACGGTTTGGGTTGGAAGGGACCTTAAAGATCATCTCATTCCACACCCTACCATGGGCAGGGACACCTTCCACTAGCCCAGGTTGCTTCAAGCCCCGTCCAACCTGGCCTGGGACACTTCCAGGGATGGGGCAGCCACAGCTTCTCTGGGTAATCTGTGCCAGGGCCTCCCCACCCTCACAGGGAAGAATTCCTTCCCATTATCCCCTCTAACTCTGCCCTCTGGCAGTGTGGAGCCATTCCCCCTTGTCCTGTCCCTCCATCCCTTGTCCCCAGTCCCTCTCCAGCTCTCCTGGAGCCCCTTTAGGCCCTGGAAGGGGCTCTCAGCTCTCCCTGGAGCCTTCTCTTCTCCAGGTGAACCCCCCCAGCTCTCCCAGCCTGGCTCCAGAGCAGAGGGGCTCCAGCCCTTGGAGCATCTCCATGGTCTCCTCTGGACTCGCTCCAACAGATTTCTTTTCTGTGCTGAGGACCCAGAGCTGGATGCAGCACACGTGTGAAGAGAGGCTGAATTCAAGTGAAGGCACTGACAAACACAAAGACTATTTTCTGGGGTGATTTTCACCCAGTCCCCAACACTGAGGGCAGAAGTGACTGCACAAGAATCTCCGTTCCACCCACACCCACTCTAACCAAACCAGCTCAGGTTCTTCCCAGTGTCTGCCCCATCTGCACCTCAGGCCCCTGTACCTGGGATCAGTCATGGTTTAACTCAGCCACTTCCTGCCTTCCCTGAGCAGATAACTCCCATCTGGACAGAGCTGCATTTCCCTCAGCACGGCAGTGAGAGCCTCTCAGTTTCACATTAAAAAAAGGACAGATGTATTTAAAAACACCTCCGGGAGAGAAGGACCCCCACGCTCCCCCCGCCTTCTCCGTTCAGCCAAATCAAGAATCCAATCACAATCCAAAGGACACAAATCCCATTTGGAGCTACAGCAGCAGCACAGCCATTTAAGGTTCTCTCCTCTGGCAATCCTTCAAATGGAACGAACAACCACTGATAGGGATGAAAATGCCTTGGGGAGGCGTAGAAAAATTCTCATTTATTCCCAGAGCTTTCTTAAGCACTTTAAGGATGTCGTAACAGGTTTTATTAACCACCCTGAGCAAAAGAAAAGAAAATATCACAGAGTGTAAATTAACGTTTGGGGGTATTTTCCAGACTCTCCTGCATGCCAGGCATTATCACAAATCCCCCTGAAGAGGGGGAGGTTTATTTGCTGCTTCTCTTTCTCCTGTTGTAATAAAAGTAAAAGAGCCTTTTGCAGCTCTTTTACCAATCTGCCTCATCCAGGCATGGGGAAAGAAATTAAGCCTAACTGCTCGACAAGATCTTGCTTGGACAATACCTGAAGGGATGTTTCTGAATTGCTCTGGTGGAGGCAGGGGGGCTGCAAGCCCCAAAATCATTATCTCAGAGAGTATTTACCAAATTACTAACAACAATTAATAACCAGAAGTGCCCCACAGCTTCCTATTCCCTCTTGAGATAGGCATCAATGATCTGCTCAGTATCAGCACCAAAGCCTATTAAATGATAGAGGAGTGTCAAGCCTGACTCAATCCAACAGGAATTCTCAGTTGGCAGCTGACAATAAACCAGAGGCCCCATCTTCCTCCTGGGGAGACATCCTGCTGCTCACCTCCATCACTGCTCACTTCATGGAATCACAGAGTGAATCCCAGAATGGTTTGGGCTGGAAGGGACCTTGAAGATGACCCATTTCCAACCCCCTGCCATGGGTAGGGACACCTTCCACCAGACCAGGTTGCTCCAAGCCCCATCCAACCTGGCCTTGGACACTTGCAGGGATGAGGCAGCCACAGCTTCTCTGGGCCTGTGTCAGGGCCTCCCTTCTCACTTCTAGCTTCAAGAAAGGAAAGATGGACCAACAAAAGCAGAAAAGGCAAAAAAACACAGCTGCTCCACTGCTGGCAGCTCTGGGGTGTCACTGGAGGTGTTCAAACCACCTTGGCTGTCCAGCCAGACTGTACTCACAGCATCCCACTCACCCACCCCATCACAGCATTCACAGAATCATTGAGGCTGGAAAAGCCCTCCCAGCCCATGGAGTTCACCCTGTGCCCAATCCCCACCTTGTCACCAGCCCAGAGCACTGAGTGCCATGTCCAGTTCTTCTGTGGACACCTCCAGGGGTGGGGACTCCACCACCTCCCTGGGCAGACCCTTCCAGTGCCTGACCACCCTTTCCAGGAAAAAATTCCTCCTGGTGTCCAACCTGACCCTCCCCTGGCACAGCTTGAGCCGTTTCCTCTCATCCTGTCCCTTGTCCCCCGGGAGCAGAGCCCGATTACCCCGCCCCGGCTCCACCCTCCTATCAGGGACTTGTAGAGCTGCTTCTCCAGCAGGACAGTGTGAAATCCAGCCGAGAAACAGCCAGGACGGCCGAGAAGCCACAGGGAGTGGGGAGACAGGGAGGGGAAGGAGGGAGACGCCCGCACGAGCCACTGCCCATCCCAGGAGGTCCCTGGGGGGGGTGAGACCCCCAGGAGGTTGGGGCAGCTCAACCTCCTCAGGCTGGGACAGGGGGAGGATCACAGAATCACTGAGCTGGGAAAACCCCTCTGAGACCACCGAGTCCACCCTGTGACCCAACATCACCTCGTCACCCAGCCCAGAGCACCGAGTGCCACGTCCGCCCTTTCCTTAAACACCTCCCGGGACGGCGACCCACCACCTTCCCGACGGGCGCGATCGCGGCGGGGCCCTTCCAGCCCTTAACACATCAGGGCCTTTCACAGAGCCCCGAACCTCCCACCGCCCACACACAGAGACATAAAGAGCAGGCACGTGCTCTCTCCCACCGCACCCCTCACCCCCGAGGGAGCCCCTCACGCCGCGGCCTGCCCGCGGGCCCCCAGCGCGGAGCGGCCCTGCCCCGCCGCCCGCCCGACCGCCCTCCCTCAGCGCAGCCCCCACGACCCTCCCCAAGCCCCGGCGAGCCCGGGAGGAGCGTCGGGGGGCGCGGCAGCTCCTACCCCGGGGGTACCCACCCCGCTGCCCGACGCCATGGCGGCCTGAGGGGGGACGGCACCGGGAACTGTCGCGCGGCGCCGTAAAGCGCGGCCTCCCGCCCGGTGTCACGTGCTCCACCGGTGTCACGTGTCTCCCCCCCGCGCTCCCGGTGCCGCCGGTGTCACGTGCCGCCGGTGTCACGTGTCCCCGCGCTCCCGGCGCCCCGGTCCCGGTCCCGGCCATGCTGAGGATCGGTCCCATCGCCGCCGCCGCCGCTTTCGCCCGCCGGGCACCGCCGCGGCACCGCCTCGCTGGGAACCGGGAGAGCATCCCCCGGTCCCGGCCGCCGGCTCTGTCCCGGGGCGGCGGCGGCGGCGGCGGCGGGAGGGTGGTGCCGGTGCTGAAGACGCCCAAGGTAAAGGCGGGGATTGCGGGCGGCGCCGGTGGGTACCGAGCGTTCCCGCGCGGCCCCGCCGCTCACGGCTCGTTCTCCGTGTCCCGGGCAGGGCACCCGCGACCACCCGCCGGCGCAGGCGGCGCTGCGGGAGCGGCTGCTGGGCGCCGTGGTGTCCTGCTTCAAGCGGCACGGGGCGGCCGCCATCGACACCCCCGTGCTGGAGCTGCGGGTGAGGCGCGGGGGGAACCCCTCGGTGCGGGACGGGACCCCCACGGCGGCTGTGGGACCCTTCTCCTTCCTGGGGACGGGATCCCCACAGGGGCTGTGGGACCCCCCTTGTGCTCCTTCCTGCGGGACGGGACCCCCATAGGGGCTGTGAGACCCCCCTCTGCTCCTTCCTGCGGGACGGGATCCCCATAGGGGCTGTGGGACCCCCCTCCCTGCTCCTTTCTGCGGAATGGGACCCCCCAGTCTGCTCCCTCCTGTGGGACGGGACCCACATAGGGGCTGTGGGACCCCCCTCTGCTCCTTCCTGCAGGATGGGACCCCCATACGGGCTGTGGGACACACCCCCCCCCCCGCTCCCTCCTGCGGGACTGGGGAGCTCCGTCTTCCCCCGGGGATTCAGGGCAAGTCTGAGGGAACTCCTCGTGTGGGGAGGGCAGGGATGACAGTCCCTCTTGGGACCTGTGGGGGGATGGGGAGGTGGACCCAGGTCCAAGAGGGCTGGAGGGGGAATGTGTGTAATGCTCACCCCGGCTTGACTTGAGAGGCTCTGGGGGGGACTGAACTCTGTGCCCATCCCAGGGGACCCTGTGCCCCAGAGCCACCTGGTCACGGGCCCCCTTGTCCCTCCCCAGGAGACGCTGATGGGGAAGTACGGGGAGGACACAAAGCTCATCTACGAGCTGCAGGACCAGGGAGGGGAGCTGCTGGCCCTGCGCTATGACCTCACCGTATCCTGAGCTCCCCAGGGGACGGTGACACCCCGAGGGGATGGTGGCATACCACCTTTGTGGAGTCCCCCTTGGCCTGCCCTGCCTGCAGGACCCACTGGGGTGTTGGACCCCCTTGTCCACCCTGCCTGGCTGTCACTGTCATGACCCCACCTCACACCAGCCCCCAACCAGGCTGGGACCCACAGCAAAGCCCCTCCCATGGGCTGCAGACTTGCACCAGTTTGCTCCTCTGTACTGGTTTTATCTCCTCCCAGTTACAGTCCCCACCTCTGCCCTGCCCATCCCACCTTCCCAGTGCCGTCTGGAGAAGTGTTTGCTGCAGGAGCCCATCCCAGGCCTTCTCCACCTGCACATCTCACCCAAAATCTCTCCTGTTTAATGTCTGTAGGGCTGTGCTGTGCACTGAATTCCCTCTGATCACACTGTGAGAGGGTAGAATGACGAGAGAGGGTCAGTGTGTGCATAGGGTTGTCCTGAGTGGGTCAGGAGGAGGGAATGGAGCTGTCCCAGTGTTAGAGGAGCTCAGCTGCTTCATTCTACTCATCCGCAGTCCGGGCTGATGATTTCCCTAAAAATCATAGAATATCCTGAGTTGGAAGGGACCCACAGGGAACATCAAAGTCCAACTCCTGGCCATGCACAGGACACCCCAAAAATCCCACCATTATTGTGAAAAAAACTGGGGAGCACCTGGCAAAGGGAAAGGGAGACGGGGGGCTGGGAGGTTCAGCTTTGCAGCTCCAGGGATCTCCCTGTTCCCATCCTTAACTCCCTGGGCCCAGGTGCCCTTCGCTCGCTACCTGGCCATGAACAAGGTCAACAACATGAAGCGCTACCACGTGGCCAAGGTGTACAGGAGGGACAACCCGGCCACCACCCGGGGCCGCTACCGCGAGTTCTACCAGTGCGTGAGTGTTGGGGTGGCAGGAGGGTTTTCCTGGCTGGAGCACCTCCAGCTGCTGCAGAGCAGCGTGGTGTGCCCGGCCAAAGCCCCTCAGCTGTGCCAGGAGCCTCCGTTGCTGCTTCTGCCCCCAGGACTTCGACATCGCCGGGCAGTTCGACCCGATGATTCCTGATGCCGAGTGCCTGAAGATCGTGCACGAGATCCTGAGTGACCTGCAGCTCGGGGACTTTGTCATCAAGGTGAGGCCAGGCGGGTTCTCTGTGCCATGGTGGGAGGCAGTGGTCATTGTCCCTGGGGTTTTACACAGCAGCACCTGTTCCCACTCTCAGGCCTGATCCAGGAGTTCATCCTGCCTCTCTGTGTCCTCATGCTAAAGGCTGGACCTCAGCTTGAGCTGGGAATGCCCAGAGGCTTCCTCAGTCTGCAGTTGGCAGAGTTCTTGCCAGGACTAATCACAGTCCCCTGCAAAATTCCAGCAGCCACCTAGAACCATAAAGTCATGGAATGGTTTTCATACCTCTGCACCTTCCCTTCCCGTGGGAAAGGCAGGAGGAAATGCCAGCAGCTGCAGATTGCCATACACTGGGACCAAAGGAATGACACTGGGGGGGATGTCCCTGAGCTAAGTGTGCCTCTCCCTCCCCCAGGTCAACGACAGGCGGATTTTGAACGGTGTGTTTGCTGTCTGTGGTGTCCCAGAGAGCAAGTTCATAACGGCCTGTTCCACCGTGGACAAGCTGGACAAGGTCAGCCTTGGGCTCATGGGGAGACGCTTCTGGTCTTGAGCTGGGCAGTGTCATGGCCCCTCTTGACATAAAGAGGGTCACAGCAGCAAAGTTGTTGGCGTGGGTAAAGGATTCGGGGATCTCTTGGAATAAAACCTGGTGATTCCAGTGGTTTGTTAAAAATTCCTCTGAGAGAGAGAGAGATACAGATGATTAGTGAGATGTGCAGGATGACAGTCAGCAGAGTTGTGCTCATGTGGGCTGGTGGAGGCAGTGGTGAGGAGAGGAGTGGGAAACCCCACTGTGGGAAACCAGTGGGTGAGGAGAATGTCCTGCAGTAACAGATGTCCTTCTGTCCCCTCCCAGGTGCCGTGGGAGGAAGTGAGGAGCGAGATGGTGGGAGAGAAGGGGCTCTCTCCCGAGGCTGCGGATCGCATCGGGGAGTACGTCCAGCTCCACGGTGAGCACTGGGGGGTCGAGCCCTTGGGCTTGTTCTGGGGATGGAGGGTGCACAGGGCACACACACGGCTGGCTGGGGCCACTGTGGCTGGTGCTGCTGCCCTGGCACACCTGAGGCAAGTCTGGTTCCTACAGGTGGGCTGGACCTGATCGAGCGGCTCCTGCAGGACCCGAAGCTGTCGCAGAACAAGCTGGCCAAGGAGGGGCTGGGGGACATGAAGCTGCTGTTTGAGTACCTGACCCTGTTTGGCATCACAGGGAAGGTGAGGAGGTGCAGGGGCAGGAGGGGGTGCTGCCCTGGTGAGCCCCCCAACCACCCAGTGACGGGGCCGCCCTGGTGCCCTGCAGATCTCCTTCGACCTGAGCCTGGCCCGGGGCCTGGACTATTACACGGGGGTGATCTTTGAGGCCGTGCTGCTGCAGCAGGAGAACGAGCACGTGGAGGAGCTGGTGGGCGTCGGGAGCGTGGCTGGAGGCGGCCGCTACGACGGGCTGGTGGGGATGTTTGATCCCAAGGGCCGGAAGGTGCCCTGCGTGGGGGTCAGCATTGGGATCGAGCGGATCTTCTCCATCCTGGAGCAGAGGCTGAAGGTAGGTGCTGCAGACAGTGCATTGGAGGAGGCCCTAGGAAGTCAGCTATCGTTTATTAGAGCTCTACAGCTCCATGGTATTCAGGGGAAAATAATTTTGGGGGTGAGGGTGGCTCCTTTCATGCCTGAGTGTCCATGCACAGAAGACAGAGCCCTTTTCTGCAGCCCATCAGGATGCAGGTGTGGGTAGCTGAGGGCAGCATTCCCTAGGAAATGTCAAGGAAGTGTTAGAGGCAGCCCTGAGCTCTGGGCCTGGCTCTGAGCTTTTTGCCCCAGTCACTTTGCTCCTCTCTTGCCTGTGAAGTTTCCTGTCCTGGAGATTGGGAAGTGATGAATTCGGTATTGTCTGTGACACTCTGTAATGAGCACCCCAGGAAAGCCTCTGAGAAGATTCATCACTGTGTTTAATTCTGAGCTTGTGATTCCTGGCAGAGGAGGCCAAGTCAATGTGTTTGTACCTGGAGTATCAAAGGAGACCTTGGAAAGATGTCCAGGTCCCATGTGGGAGGGAGGCCGAGGTCCCACGGGAGCAGCAGCACATGATCAAGTACTGTGACACAATGCAGAGTCTCTGGGGGGCTCATTAAAGGTGTCCAGGTTGTCAGTCACTGAGTTAAGGTCTGGAGATGAGGTGAGGTGCTGTGAGCTGCAGATTCCCTCAGAGCCAGTCACTCCCACGAGCGTGTCTGTCCCTCCAGGCTTCTGGGGAGAAACTTCGCACAACTGAAACCCAAGTGCTGGTGGCCACACCCCAGAAACACTTGCTTGCTGCCAGACTGAAGCTCATCTCAGAGCTGTGGGACGCAGGGATCAAGGTAAAGGAACCACCTGGGCTCGGTGGTGTCATGGGTGAGGGAGGGAGAGCCTGAAGGAGCTGTAGCACAGCAAGACGAGCTCCATTAGTTGTGTTCTCTTCAAGATCTGGGCCTGTCTGAGATCACAGAGCCCTTCAGGTTGGAAAAAACATCAAAGATCACAAAGTCCAACCGTTAGGTCTAGGCAGGCACAGAAGAACAGCCCAGAGCACTGAAGGCAACCCCTTGCTGCAGGGTTTCATGGTGTCTGCTTTGCTCCAGTATCCATCAAAGCAAATTTGGGTTAGTGATTCGTCCTTCCCACTCCCTGCTAGGCCGAGATGCTGTACAAGAAGGATCCTAAACTGCTGAAGCAGCTGCAGTATTGTGAGGACACAGGGATCCCCCTTGCTGCCATTGTAGGAGAGCAGGAGCTGGCAGACGGAGTCGTCAAGCTGAGAGATGTCTCAACACGAGAGGAGGTGAGAATGTCCTTTTGTCCAGGTGTCAAAAGTGGTTCCAAACTCTGGAGATCACTGAAAGGCTCTGGATTTTCCCTCAGTGATGATGTTCCTTTGGGAAGCCATAGCACAGGTCTGTTGGGTGTCTCCAGAAAACCAGTCACAAACTGTGTTAGTACCCAAAGCAAGCCTTTGGTCCTTAGAACTGTGCTCTGTTCTAATGCTGCTACCTCCCCCTCTCTTTGCTTTGTAGGTTGATATCCCAAGGGAGAAGCTTGTTGATGAGATCAGGAGAAGGCTGGAGCCCTGAGGACTTCTCTGGCCAGAGCTGCTTGGCTGAACTGCTGTACAACTGGAACCCTGCAGTGCCCTTAACTATTCACTGCCAGCTGAGGCCTGGTTACCATCCACCAGCCTAAGGCTCCTTGCCTGGGCTAAGGCAGCGAGAAGAGAGGAGCCAGGGCATTTTAAAAGCTATGGGACAGCGCAGTCACCAGCTTAAAGTTCTGGTTAAGTGCTCTGAAGGACAGGCTGAGCTTGTGGGTTCCTAATAGTGCAGTCCCTGCACCTGTACAGGCATTCCCATCACTGCAGGTGGTGTTTCCATGGGCACAGACTGGACGTGGTGCAGCTCACAGAGGTGCAGCTCCAGCAGGATCATCAGGCTGAGCTCTGGCGTGGGGAGGGAGCATGTTGGGCACCCACAGGCCCAGGACATGGGGCGAGGAGGGCAGTGGAAGGGCCAGTCCCACTCCCAGCCCGCACCTGGACGCTGCACGGGGCTGCAGGACCAGCCTGAGTGGGGGTGATGCCAAAAAGTCGGAGAAGAAACTCTCTAGACTCATTTTGAGTATAGAAAGCCAAAACCCACACGTTTATTGCAGCGCCAGATGCATCAGAAAAAATCCCAAAGGATGCACCCTGAATCACACACGTTTCATAACTTTATACCATCCTCTAATTACAGATTCAAGGAGGGGCTGTCTCACCCCATTTTCCCCCAGAGGACGCTCCCCTCGGATTGTTTTTCTCTTGAGTACTTGGTTTCCTGCCTTAGGGACCTGGTTCAAGGCCTAAACCCAGCCTTGCCTCGTCCGTTTCATATCCTTTCTCGCTTTTATCAGTCTCTTCACAGCTGCGAGCGACCGCCTCTGTTTTACCGAAATTCTTGCCGGTAACGAATCTTGGCAAGAAATTCCACGCTACGCGCTTCCCCTCGGGAACTTCCAACCTTTACTGAAAACACGTGAGCTCTACGGCTGACACTCTCCTTCTAAAGTGTCAAAAATACATAAATTCTGCGGCTAACAATTTCTAATAAAGTACTTAATTTTACGGCGGGCGGAGAGGGGGGCGGAGAGCACGTGTCCCATCAGCGAGGGGGACACACACGCGGACGCGGCGAGGGGGCCGGAGGCGCACGCGTGGAGGAACTCTGTAGTTTTACATATTAAACAAACAAAAACACAAAAAACCGCCGAATTAAACAAACCAATTAAAAAAAAAAACGATCTGGCCCTCTGGCGGCTTTCATTTCCGGGTCGCGGCGCATGCGCAGTTCCCGGCGGGAGCGGGGCGGGCCCGGAGCGGCCATGGCGGCGCAGGAGGCGGCGGTGCGGGCACAGGCGGAGGCGGTGCGGAGGCTCAAGCAGGACAAGGCCGATCCCGACGAGGTGCCGGGGGGAGCTCCGGGGATTCCCGGGAATGGGGTGCCTTTGGGAGAGGAGCGGCGCGACTGGAAGCGGGGGTGCTGGGAAGACTGGGAGGGGCGGGGAACGGGGCGCTGCGGGTGTTGGGGTGGGGGGAGCGGGGGGTGATGTGGTGGGCTGGGGTTGCCGGCTCACGGGGAGGGTGCCGGGGGGAACTGGGAGTGCTGGGAAGTGGAGGGGGCTGAGGGTGCAGGGGAGACTGGAACTGGTGGTACTGGTGTTAGATGGAAGGATGCCGGGGGTGTTGGGGTTGGGAAGAGGGTGCTGGAGGCGGCCGGTGCTGGGTGCACGAAACGGGAACTGGTGGGGATGGCGATGGGCACTGGGGAGACAGATGTGGGTGGTGGGGATGGGGGTGGACACTGGGGAGACGATTGTGGGTGGTGGGGATGGGGATGGATGCTGGGGAGACAGATGTGGGTGATGGGGATGGAGATGGACACTGGGGAGACAGATATGGGTGGTGATTGAGGTGGTGGGAGTCAGGGAATGGTGGGGGTGCTGAGACTGGGAGGTTGTATCAGAAGTGGGAAGTACCAGAGAGGAGCAGGGAGTGCCCCTCTGGTTGCTGAGGAAGTGGGAATAGTGGATGTATTGAGGCTGGGGAATCTGGGCACACTGGGAAGGCTGAGGCTGAAGGTACAGGGGAAGGCTGGGCTGGTGGGTGGGCTTACCCCCAGCTCCCTGCTTGTTCCCTCCCCAGATTGCAAAGGAGGTGGCAAAGCTGCTGGAGATGAAGGCCCAGCTGGGGGGAGATGAGGGGAAACCCAAGTTTGTGCTCAAGACCCCGAAGGTAACTGTTCCCAGCACACTCCTGTGCCTCTCTGTGTGCACATCCTCCCTCAGAACCCCACACACACCTCTGGGCAAAACCCCAGCACAGACACACCTGCCTTTGTTCTCATTTCTGTTTCCCTTTTGCTTTTGGCAGCAGAGGGGAGAGGGGTGGAAACATCTTTGACAGCACCCAGCCCAGATACCCATTGGCTTAGAGACTTTCTGGTGCTTATATGACAAGTTATAAATGCTGCTCACAAACAACACCATCACTCAGGTTATGGTGATGCCACTGACATAGGAGATCATAGAAATATGGAATGGTTTGGGTTGGAAGGGGCCTTAACTCATCTAGTTCCACAACCCCTGCCATGGGCAGGGGCACCTTCCACCAGACCAGGTTGCTCCAAGCCCAGTCCAGCCTGGCCTTGGACACTTCCAGGGATGGGGCAGCCACAGCTTCTCTGGGCAACCTGTGCCAGGGCCTCCCCACCCTCACAGGGGAGAATTTCTTCCTGGTACCTAAGTGTCTCAAAATTGTCTCCCTTTTCCATTTCCTTTACTGTGTTCTTTGGTAAATGTATTTGTGGTGTGAGCCCTGAAAAGTTGAAGGGTATTTCGCTGTTTAAAGTTGTGGAGAAGGGGATTTTGCAACTCTGTGAGTGCCAGGGAAACACAGTTGAGTTTCCAGCCTGTCTCAGCCCCATCAGTGGCAGCTGAAAGCTGCCCATCACTGAGCAACCTGTGAGTGGGGGGTTAGAAGTGCCTGGTCTCTGCTTCCTCCTGCCTGCAGGTCCTAGAGAGTGAAAGTGGAAGTTCTAGTTAGTTAATAATGATTTATTTGTTGTTGAGAACCTAAAGGTGGTCACTGAAACAATTCAGTGACCCTTAAAAGCAAAGAAATGGGAAGTGAGCACATTGTGGTGAACCATATACAAGCATTTCACAGGTGTTGCATTTTAAAAGATGATTTTTCTCTGTGTTTGGAAATTTTAGAGCTGCTAGTTGTTCCACACCCTCAAAACATGCCTTTCCCCTGATTGTTCATCTTGGGGTGGCTCGTTGGGCAGGGGTCTGGCTTATAGGTGTGAGTCAGAGCTGGGGGCAGGTCCTGGCTGCGCTGTCAGGCTCAGAAGCTCTGAACTCTGACTGTTGGATCTGTTTTAGCTACTTTGTTTCCTGTATTGTGAAACTCCTGTCTTAGATTTCCCTCTGCAGGTCATGGCAGACTCTGTCTGAGCTCTGTCCTGATGTTTTCCAATTTTTTTTGGTGCTTCCTTTTACCAATACCTGGCACCTGGACCTGGTCTCTCTGTCTCCGTTAGCAGCTTCTTCCTGTTGTTTCTGGCATCTCTCTCACTCCGTGCCTCTCACCCACAGTGTCCTTTGCTCCCTCTTTCCTTCCCTCACCCCAGGGCACACGGGACTATGGCCCCAAGCAAATGGCCATCCGGGAGAGGGTCTTCAGTGCCATCATCTCCTGCTTCAAGCGCCACGGGGCAGAAGTCATTGACACACCCGTGTTCGAGCTGAAGGTGAGTGAAGGCACAGCAGGTTGGCTGAGCTGGTGAGGATCCTCCAGCTGAAAGTGTTGAGGGTTGAGTTTCCTTCTTCCGGCTCCTAGGTACCCTCACTTTCTCTCCTGCTCCGGGGCTGTTCCCCTGCCACTGAAGGTGCTGTTTGTTTGTTGTCGTGTTGTAGGAGACGCTGACGGGGAAATACGGGGAAGACTCGAAGCTCATCTACGATCTGAAGGATCAAGGAGGGGAGCTGCTGTCCCTGCGCTACGACCTGACAGTATCCTGCCACAGCCTGAGGGGCCTTGCCTGGCCTCCTTTTGGGACAGTGCTTCCCTGAGGGGGAGGGAGGACTCCAAACTGACAGGGAGAGCATGAGCAGGCAGTGTGGTTCAGTGGGTGCAGAACCCTTGCTCTGTTATTTACTGTGTGTTGCTTCTGTTTGGTGAAGGAATGCTTAGAATCATGGAATATCCTGAGTTGGAAGGGACCCACAAGGGTCATCGAGTCCAACTCCTGGCCCTGCCCAGGACACCCCAACAATCCCACCCTGTCCCTGAAAGCGTTGTCCAAATGCTCCTTGAGCTCTGGCAGCCTTGGTGCTGTGCCCTCTGCCCTGGGGAGCCTGGGCAGTGCCCAACCACCCTCTGGGGGAAGAACCTCTTCCTAATACCCAACCTGACCCTGCCCTGACACCATGCCCCATGTGTGTGGAGGTAAGGAAGATTTGTACTGAGTGGGGTTTCTCAGGGTACCCAGACCAGGCTGCTGCAGCACACAGCCCACGTGAGACTGAAATCCGGCCTGAGATGCTGCTGGAAGATGCCTGAAGGGACACTTAATGGCAGCATGTGTGGTCTGTGTCCTGGACAGCTGTGGAGACCTCGGGGAGCAGTGACAAGTCCAGCTGTCTCTTAGCAGTTCTTCGCCCCACAGGTGCTGGGTTTTGGGAAGATAGTGAGGACCCAGCGCTGCCTGTAACTGGTAACTGGGGGGGGGGGATGATCCCTCCCTGTTCCCATCCTTAACCCTCTGTCCCAGGTGCCCTTCGCTCGCTACCTGGCCATGAACAAGATCACCAACATCAAGCGCTACCACATTGCCAAGGTGTACAGGAGGGACAACCCGGCCATGACCCGGGGCCGCTACCGCGAGTTCTACCAGTGTGTGAGTCTGGCTGTTGGCAGGGGCACTGCAGGGGGAGGCTGTGGGCTGTCAGAATGCAGGATCTAATGCTGTGTTACCCTTCCCTGTGGCTATGGAAAGCTCTGGAGGATTCACTAATCTTCTCCTTAGTGTGCCCTCACGAGTGTGAAAAACAGCTGGGGAGTGGGAGAGTAGGAGTGACAGCTGTGACAGGGTGTTGGTGTGGTGGGCAGCTTTGTCACAGAGCCCCCCGGTATCACCACCTTCACCCTGTGGGGGAAGGCAGCTCCTTCCTCCATCCCACAGCACTTGCCAGCCGGGTGAAGGGGAAAAATTTCCTTCTGATCCCGAATCTGGCAGCGGTTCAGCTCTGGGCGTGTTAGCAGGACACACAGACCAGGCTAGGCCGTGGTATACCCTACTTGTGTGCTGTGTTCAGTCAATCCTCACTTCAAAGGAAGGGAAGAGCCAGAGGCCAAATTACAGAACAGGTAACAAAGCAATTTCCTTTGTGGCTCTCTCGTGGTAGCCCTGAGGAACAGCTTTGTTCTGCTGTACTGACACAGTCCCCAGGGGCTCATATTGCAAACAGTTATTTTGTTTGACAATGTTCCTGCTTCATCATACAATCTCTGGGGATACCTTCCAGCTCCAGCTTGGTGATTCCCATTTCCAAACGACTCAGGGTCTTTGCCTGCTGTCCCGTCTGAAAGACTGTTCCAGGATAGCTCACTCCTAGGATAGCTAGAAATGGTCTTCTAATACCCAGGCTAAACTTATTTGTATCTGAGTACTTGTCCTTGTTTAAAGACTTCAGCTCTTTAAACAGTAGCTGTCATCCCTTGATATGGATTCTTCTCCTTTCCTAGATGAACATTTGGGAAATGTTTAGTGAAATCTTCCCCTCCTTAGGTCACCTAAATCAAGCTGTTGCCTTCTTTCCCTGGAGTTATGGAGTTTTTTCCTTCTCTGCTCAGCCTAGGAGGTTTTTCTTCCTCTTTTCTTCAACATAATTCACCAGTCCCTGTTTTTTTTCAGTGAGATTTCACCTGTGCCATGTACAGTGGTAGCAGCACCACTTTCCTGACTGTACTTGCTAACTCAACTTCCACAGGGATTGCATCAGCCCTTCTTGCACTCAGCTGATAAGGATTAACTGATG